AACAAATCAGACGTCTAACTGGCAGTATGCGGCGCAGGGTTGCAGCAGTCATCCAGGACAAACGGTGGATATACCTGATATTGACTTTTTGATGACTAATTATCAATGTGTGGGTCATGATTGACATTTTGTAATGTGATTTGACAATTCTGTAACGTTTTTGAGCTTTCACTGACAATACTTATTAAAGATAATTTTAAGCGTGAAAACTGTCCATATTTTGATGTCATGATATGTAAATTAAAAATTGTTATTTTACGGTGATAATCTTGTTTTCTTGTGCCCAATAATGCATAATTTCATTTGATAAACACGTTTAGATTGGATTGGTAATTTATAATCAGTCACAAGAATGTCGAATCTGAATCACTTGAAAAAAACACGGGGGTGCTTAACTTTTTTCCAGGTGTATACAAATGTATATGTTTTTTATCCTGGTTGGAGCCATGAGACATCTACTGAGAATGGGAGTCCTGCCTCCTATATCTATAATGTCATGCAAGGACATGCATGTCTCAATTAGGGCATTTGTATGAAAAGTTTACAAAAAAAAAAAACCTAGTATAACTCACATTTGAAGTTAATAAGAAATCAAAGTATAATAAACAATTAAGCAGCATTATTATTAGTTACTAATAAACTTAGTTGAACACATAACTATTCCATTAAGATTGTGCATTTTCTTAAATACACACTGAATAGGTTGAATTATTTAAACTGTAAAAATAAAAAAAAGAATCTTACATTTCATATTCTTCTGCAGCTGCCTGAATAACAGAAAAGAAGTCTTCAACTCCTTGACCACTAATTGCAGACACACCTACAGACTTAAGTGTACCATAGAATTCATCAAGAACCAGACTCATAGAACTTGTAAGATTGGAGATATAAGATGTTTCACCCTGGAGTGCTTCTTGAAATGTTTCAAAATCCTTCATCCACTGGACAGCAAAGCTGTGGTCCACAATATCTGTCTAAAAACAAAACTCTTATCATAACATTATACAAAAATAACACTTTTCCTACATTCACAATTACAATAAAAAAATCAGTATCATGTTTACCATACATAGTTAACTACAAATACTTTTTCACAGAGAAATTCTGTAATTAACTCAAAATTCTTGACATTGATGCATATCTTATGCCTCTGATTTTACACTCACATGTTACGTCCTACATACTCCATGTCTAAAATGCACCAACTTAAGGCATATTATGACATATAGTTATTAGTTCTTACATTTTTAGAATTAAAGTGAATTTCAAGCAGGTAACTACCTCACAAATACCATAAGCTTTTCTTAATGAGTTGTTCTCGCTTTCTCAACAACCATGTGAATCTTGCATTGTGTCATTTTACTCAAAGTTCTCCATTCTTCCACCTTCCTTAGGAAGTAAGCATCAGGGGAATTACATAAATCTTGTTTTCTCACCTCAGGCCAGATTTCCTAGATGCAATCATGATGACATAATACATGCCTCCTGTTTGGGGAGGTGGGTGGTAATGAATTTCAAAGGTAAGTACGTCCTTGAGATTTATTAATTGTAAAAATGTAAATCTTGAGTCATGTAAGCTTACCTCTGAAATACTGTCAGCTAGAATACCCATAATACAATGAATAGGGGAACTGGAGAGCATCATAACAAAAGACAACCACATCACCAGATGTTGAGTTCTGGGATGAGAAAGGTAACATAGTTAGAGCACTACAACAATGATACATGAGATCAAGTACAGTCTAAGCAGAATCAAGGACCAGAGCAACAGGTGATTGACTGGATTTGTCTGGAAAAACTGAGTGAAGAGGACCAGCCTCTAAAGTGCCTGAACCAAAAATACTGTCCTCAGAAGAGAAGCATTCTTTTCAGTAGAGTACCTCTTCACCCTGGACACCCTTTAATTTAAATATAAAGGGGTCCAATTAATATGGAGATATCTGGTAGCCATTCATATAAATAGATGTACTCCCAGGTGGTGGCTAGACAATTGTCCAAGGTAAGAGCAGAAAACCTCGTCCTGCACATGTTAAAAGACGATTTTCATTGAAGAAAACCAGTAATTATGTAGAGACTGGAAGAACTTCTGGGACTAAAATCTCCACAATCCAAGACTGAAAAAGATGTTAAAGTTGCAAAACTGGTCTATTCATCAACAACCCAAGGAGAATCTAAAAGAGCTAGGTTGTCCAGAGGACAGACTCAGCAACACAAAGAAAGTGCAATTAAAGCACTATATAAGGAGGTTAGACAAGATGAAAACTATACTGTACAGCATACCTCTTCCAGGTTGGAACTATAGACATGAATTGGAGAATAGTCATTATGTCTTCAATGTCTCAAAATGCTACACAAGGATATATGTGGAGGTGGGAAAAAGTACCCATGGAGTCATCATCCACCATCTGATGGCATCACCCTCTCATGGAACCCAGTTCAGAGGATGAAACATAGCCCCCTAAACACAGCATCATATGTTAAAAGAGAAAGATTATTTATTTATTAGTGTAATTGAACAAGTGGAAAACATCAGGAAGCAAGATTCCACTGGAGGTTATGTATGTGAGCATGCCCAAAGTAAATACCTTTGTGTTGTAATGCCATGGTCCCCAAAGCAGAAAGGATGTCTTTGGTTGTAGGTGTAGAAGACAGAAGTTTGTGCACATGAAACTCCAAGGCTTGAAGTACTAAAGGAGATGGCTGAAGAATTCCCTGAAAATAACAGGTGAACCAAATACTGAGTTGGTAATAACTGAGATTTGGTGTTGTGAATGATTCACCCACAAGATACAGCAAACTGAGTAATCAACTGAATGTGTGCTACAGACAAGTAAACAACAGAAAAAGAAGCCAATTATTTATATAAGAGTGGAAGTTGATGTCAAGTGGATAGAGTTGATTGTCTAGGGTCTTGATTACTCAACAGAAAACATACTGAGCAGAAGCGAGGCCAAAAGGAAAGACAGTGAACTGATAAACTACTTCTTGATGGCAAAAACACAGAAAATAGTTTGATAATGAATGAATCAGAATATGAAGTGTCTTACATATACAACTTTGCCATATAATGTCCAAATTAAAGAAATTTTTGTATCATTTTCAAATTTTCAATTTTGAAATGAGCCATATACACAAAATGACAGAAGTAAGACATCCACCATAGGTTCCAACCTCTTGATTTCTTTGGAACTATAAAAAGATGGGTATAAAAACCCGGAGACATGTGGTAAACAATTTCTACAACTTTTTGTAAGAGATCCAAAACTTCCCAATTCAAAATTTATAGGCATATTAGATCAGAAGGAAACAGAAAAAATACAAGGTGAAAAGAATAAGGAGGAAGAAGATGAAGAGTCTGTCAAATTCAAATATCTTATAGATGATCAAATGAACCTGGATAATTCCACAACAGTCTAGACAGAGGGTACACCTGGAGCTGAGAAAGGTCACCGAGTGGTTTGAGTAAAACAACTTCACTTGACTCTACACTTATAGTTTAAAGGAATTAAATATTTAAAGAACATGTTATAGTTTTTTTGCATATTTACTGATAATCTTCCCAAGAAAGTCAGCAGTCAGCATTGCAAAGCATTATACCAACAGAAAAGTGAAATAGTTTTGTCATGTTTATAACTAATGAGTTGCTTTTTCTACATTTGTAGATATTCAATACTTCTGTGCCACTTGTACAATTTAAAAAATATACCACTAACTGAAGGTCAATAATTATAGTAGTAGTTAAATCAGGCAGTTTTACATGTATTTTTTGAACTAACAGCCTAAGCACATTGTATTACAAATTATTAGTAAAGTAAATAGGTACATTTCAGTAGACAATAAAAAACTTAAAACTGATTTGTAAGTTGTGAGCTTCTCAGTAGGAAAATACTAATAATTTAAGCAACAACAGACTGTGAATCTATTATACCCAAATACATAAAGTTCTAGAAAATTAGTTTCTATCTAAAAAATATTGATTGAATAATCACAACAGTTTTGATTGAATTTAACATAGTATATATTTCACTTAAAGATTATTATATCATAAAGACAAGGTGATTTATTTGTTTGTTTCTGTTAAGTGCAAAGCTACAAAATGGGCTAGCTGTGCTCTGCCCACCATGGGTATCACAACCCAGTTTTTAGCATTATAAGTTCTCAGACTTACCACTGAGGGGTAAAATGATTTATATAATAAAGGTTTACCAAGGTTTTTGTTTTCAACATTACCACAAATGTTCATAAACTTAAGCAAAAATATATTTTTTGAGTTTATAATACCTACCTTGTTCATAACAACCACAAGAGGTAACTTAGTTTTGTACATTATACTACAAGCATACAGCATGTTTGACATGAAAGTGACAGGACTGACACTACGAACTATGTCCATAATGTAGACCACTACAGTTGGGAAGGCTGATGCCTAAAAAAAAAGAGAATCAACAAGTCTATCTGGATAAAGTTTCTTTCACAGCAAACATGAAGAAAATATAAACAAGCTAGCGTGAACATAATGATTCCATCTTATTTTTATCATGTGTCCTCCACATATAATTTTTGATATTGTATAAAAATGAAAAGTAAACTTTAAAATACAATATTTATAGACATGAGCCTCGATTTAAATTTAATTGTTTTTTTTTTCATATGAGATTGTTAACTAGTTTAACAGGTATATAGTAACAAAACCAAAAATATCTAGATTTTAAAGGACATTCCATCAACATCATGAAATTATTATTTAATTGTTAACTAACTTACATATTATCATACATATATTTTGATCTTGTTCATATTTTACTGAATACTTGCAACCTCATAATACCTAAAAATATGTCAGTTATAGTTTTCTGTAATGAAACAATCCCTAAACACAAATTCTATATCAGAATTCAGCATCAATGAAGTATTAGCTTCAAAAAATTTTCAAGTGTGAGTACTTTATGAAATGTCATAAACATTGTTTCTGAATAACTTCATACATAACAAGATGTATAATAATACAGTGAACTTTCATTACAGTATTGTAAATGTTACGTTTGTTTTTTCTTTTGAGAATTCATTGAAGACAAAACGAGGCAACAATTCTACATTTTCATCATTTCTGTGGTCCTACTGTTTATTAAAAAATTAAGATTTCTTGCCCATGATTCTTGTACATTTCAGAGGACTCAATAACTCAAATGCTTTGAAATAGTTGACTTCAGGTCAGGAGTAGAAGAAGAACAGTCAACTATTTAACTATTTGAAGGAGTTTGAGTTTTTGGGACTTTTGAAATCTACTTGAATTTTTTGGGGCAAGTCTTTATGTTAATTCTTTCATTATGGCTGCTCATAATTCTGTTATCAATATAATTTTACCCTGTTATTTAAATTAATAACAACTTCACATTTTCAACATGATGATGACTGTTATTTCAGCTAACAACAATTTCACATTTCCAAAGTATCATAAACTCATTTCCAATATATCCTGTTATAGCTCATGAATCACAACATATTTTAATAAAGCACGAAAACTTTTTAAAAGTTTTATATTTTTTGTAAGTACTCCTGTATTAAAGTTTAAATTTATCTATTTTAATCAGACATTTTTCCCCAGCAAATATTATTATCACTCATTTTGATGCCTGATTGCTATTATTTATTGCAATTATTTCCAAATCCTTTTTAAAATTATCAGATTACTGTGCTTATTATACAATTACTCCTTAAGTTTGTTTACAGATATAAAGACTTCATAAGTTCCTGTCATTCTGCAGATCCATTAAGGTAACATAAACAAAAATCTTGCCCAAAGCATATTTCACAAAGCACATAGCACAATCAAAAACTTTCAAATAATAATACATTTTCAGGTTTGGAAAGGTGTTAAAAGTTATAAGACTGTTATTGTAATTGTGTTGTGTAGGTTTGTGGTAAGCCATTTTGTCTAGAAAATTTTTATTTATTTATCTATTTGTTTTGACTATCTGCTCTGCCCACCACGGGTATCAAAACCAGGTTTATGGCATTGTAAATCTGCAGAAATACTGCTGTGCCACTGGGGGGGCATCTAAGAAATAAATTTTGCTATTTTGTTTCTCAGTAAGCTTTGGTGTTAATCAATTTGCTTCTGAAACAAGGAGCCCTGGGAGAGTGGTTAGAACATAGGCAAAGTGAGGCAGTGCAGGACCACATGAATATCCCCATCTGGAAGGCAACACATCCATAGGAAAGTGTGGGAGATGTAAATACCTACGGGATCAGTAAAAACAAAAGGTGTGGGACAGGACTGCCTGAAAATCTGAGACCAAGGAGACAAAAGACCCTTGATCCAAAAGTCAAGAAAGGAAATCCACATGACGAATTACAGTGGGTTGATCAGGGGAAAACCCTGGACCCAGAAACCAAAGATGGAAAAATTCCATTTGTGTTGAGAAACTTCCACGTAGGAAGGGCAAACGACATGCAATGATAGGAAAATCGAGTGTGTAGGCCCAAAAAGAAGATTCTTGGTAAAGATACAGAGAGATGGGGAATGGGTACCACCCTGGTGATTGACATAAACAACAGCTGAAGTAAAGTCAGAAAGGATCAGTACCAGACAACTTCAGGCCAGATGGAGAAAACACGACCTACAGCAAAAAGCTCCAGGACGTTGATAGGATAAGACCTTTCAGCCACAGACCAAAAACCCAAATCATCCAGTTGATCAACCCACACCCCACATCCCTGAAGGGATGCATCCATGAAATGTAGAAAACTGGATGAGGAGGAGGAAGCAGGAAACCTGCTAATGTACGAGTCATAACTAACTACCAATGCTGTTCGACGACAAGAGTAGGAAGAAGAGTAATAAAAGCTGACAAAGGATCCCCACAAAATTCCACTGGTCATGAAAAGTCCATGAAAGAGCCCACATGTGAGCCTGACCTAAGGGGATAAGAGCTATTATGGAAGATCACATCCCCAAAAGCAATAGAACTGCCCAAGCTGTAATCGTACAGAAAACCCATTAAACAATGTTGAAGAGGAGAAGGGCGGGCCTGACTGAGATGTGTGTAGAAAAAGAAAACCACACCCAAATGGACAAGATATTGGATAGGTTGTAGTAAGGATTTCTCCAACTTGATTAACAGCCCATTATAGCCAACTACAGGAGCACCTGATATGAGTAACAGGTGGACTCCTGTTCGGAACAAGCAAACAGTAGCCAGCCAACCAAAGAAATAGGAAAGAGCAACTCAAGAGTATATACGTAACAAACGAATGCTCTGAATGACCGACAAAACATACAGGGCCAAAACAAGTCCAAAGGGCAGTGCACGAAACAGAGAAACCATCCCATGGAGAATAAACCAAAGAGAGGGTCACAAGTGACGAAATATTGGGATATGCAAATAAGCATTCATAACATTCCTCTTTGTCATCAATAAACCTGGAGAAAAAGCAAACCTAAGGGTGAGAAACAACTCCAAGGTAAATTGGGGCAGATTGAAAATTAGAATGAAGCAGTAGAAACCTAGTACAGGCCGCCAGTCTCTGATGTGGTGTGAGAACAACATACAGAATGGAATAAAAGCCTGGAGAAAAATGATGAACAGGTGCAATGGTCTGTAGAGTCAGAAAATCTTGTACCCCCTCAGACAGATACAGGATGGTGGCAGGATCCCAAGTCATGGAGAAGGAAAAGGGTACCAGGGACAAAGGAAGTAGGGAAAGAAATATTAGGACAAGTCTCTCTGATAAAACCTGAAGAATTCATGGAACTGTAGTGAAAGATTGCCAAAGGGTAACAATATAATACAGTCAAGCTCCTATTGGACTGGAACTCTCTGGTTAGTCTCTGGTACTGTTGGCAACAATGCCATCAACGTTGAATAAAACAAAGATGTGAGAAATCCTGAGAAGAGGAACAGGGACAGGTAGATAAGGACCAGGACGGGAAATGAATAAGGCATGTAGTGGCTCCAACTGCGACAAACATGCAACCAAAGAGGAAAGGGTCGAGTGCACAAATTACATGAGATTCCAAAGTCTCAGATACATGACTGAAAACATATCACCAAAGAAAAAATACAGAAATAAAGGGGTGGCAGACGTACCTGGACAAGGTCGCATTGCAACCCAGGAAATCTCAACTACAGTGAAACCATGTGTGTAAAGCAAGAGCCGAAGATGACAAACAAGCCAACACAGAGGTAATAATGAATCAGACAAAAATGGGTAATTGAATGAAACATAACATACCTGAGAAATCATATTGAAAAATGCTGTGTTAGGCCTAACTGATTTTGCAGGAGGGGTAGGAAAAGACACTGCAAAATCTAGTGTTGTTAAAAGGCTATCAAATCTTCATTGGCCCAAACAGGTTTGGCTTGTTCAGGAGGGTTAGTGGGGCAAGTCCAGGAAAAGAAGGTAGACTCATGTAATGATCAACCTCATGATGGATAACAGCAGAGAAATCCAATGAAGAGTCTCACCCACGTGCATCCTGTGAAAATAGTGCGAGAGGTATAACACCTGAAGTGGGAATATGAACCTCAGAATTCATTGGAGAAATATGTAAATCAAATAAAAGTGTTTTATGTAAAATATGCAAGTGTGAGAAAAAATTAAAGACTGGGAAATTAAGTTAAATTAAAAGATTTCTTCAATGTAAAGAAAAAATTAATAATGAAGAAATCCCACTTCAGAAATTAAACTATTAAAATCACGATTCACATGAAGAGCGCCAGAAGAAAAAATGTCTGAACACGAGTACTGCCAAAGAAGTGATAGTTTGATAGAATTGAATAGAGGGAGTAACATGCATCATGGTGGAGAGTTGATGCATGATGATTTACTTGAGAGATGCGTTGAAATTAGTCAATTACAATGGAGGGGTGATAGAAGGCTTGTGAGTATGCATAATTTTCTTTGCATATAGAGGGCCGCACTGAACGAGAATAGCTATTAATAAATACATTAAAGGTAATGTTCTGTATCGGAAACAGAAAGATCAACAACAAATGTATGAGTATGATGGAAGCAAACACACTTAAAATACACAACAAATACAAGTTACCTCATACACAAAAAAGTTAATAAACTATACAAGTTTAGTAATTACAAGAATTTTTAAAATAAAAAAGAAATGAGATATAGAGTTTTATTATACTAACCAATGCTTCTGTAATAATTGAGCCTGAAGCAGACCACGTGAAAACTTCAATCTGTCCTGGTGTATCAAATATAACATATCTATAATGCCATAAAAACAAACATGCAAAATTAAACTATATCAATTTATAGCACACACTTATAATCTCCAATAAAACATGAGCTGTGAAAACATGCTATAAAAAAGATATTTTGCACAGTAGAACAGGGATATAATTACAGTATGACATTAACAATTAGTTTCAGCATCCAGTGTATAAAAATTTTGTTTTAAATGTTTCTTTTAAGCAAAACAACAAAATGACATATAT